ATATATTATAATATATATATAATAATACTATAATAATTTCTCATTTATGAGAATATATTCTTATTATATACAGAGTGGTTCATAATCTCCATATTTAATTTTAGCTCTCTCTCTAACAGTGTAATAAGAAAATAATTTAATAAATGAGAAATTATTTTTTCAATAAATGAATAATTAGCATAAAGAATAGGAATCGTTTTGTATCTTTCAAGTAGTATATATTTTCATACATCAAGCTGGCCAAACGATAATTTTAATACTTTCATAACATTTATATAAATTATTATTACAATATACTCGTATAAAATTTTGCAATACTAAGCACCCGTTGCAAAAATTCCGTGCAACTTATTGGCCAACTTGACATATTCAGGACAGATTATGGTTATAGGAGAAATTTGTTAAGTAATGGAATTTATCCCGGTTCTACGTAGACCGTATTCAAATCGTTTTCACGAATCATTTGGAATAAGGAAGGCTAAGAATTCTGCTTCCACTGATATAATCGAGCATATGGCACAGGAGAACGCTGTTGAGTTTATGGCATAATAACAGTTATTTCTCAATCGAGAAATATACTTAGTCGTAATTTTAACTTGCGTAACAGTTCGGCTTGTAATCGTAATTTCCAGATTGTTCGGAAAACGTAAAAATTATTATTCCTTTCATACCGAATTACGCGAAAAATTGTCAAATTCGAGGTTTAATTCAGCTAATCCGAGTTTCTTAGGTCTAGACAGACAGCTCGGATAAGCAGCATATTTTAAGCGATATTCGTAACAACGTAGCAACAAAGAAGCTCCTGATATTAATCTCCGTTCTCGAGTTCTCGAATCTCTTGAAATTCTTTCGACAGCGTTCGAGGAAACTGATGCTTGATGAAAGAAATACTCGTCGTCGGTGTTCTACTTCTAAACTGCTTTTCAGGCGATTTCCATTTCAGACGGTGGTTCAAAGATACGCAGAAACATCATAGCCGAGATATTATTAACCGACTCGAATTTAACTAAGTATGCCACTTCGTTATTCGCATTCGTACCTATGCAGCCGCGGACATATGGAAATTTAAATATTTTTCGAATTATCGACTGAATAAATTAACCTCCTGACACGTTATCGTTTAATCGTTTATTTCGATTCGAGTATTTATCCAGGTGATTTAATTCCGTATAATTCAAACATCGATTTGATGCAATTCAAACATGAAAGTTAATATTGCACTTATCAGAGAAACTATTTGACTTGTCATAAAAATTGCACCTCATACGATAAACAGAAAATTCCAAGGCTATAAATACTAATTAAACCGATGCTTGTTCCATCGAAACATTAATTCGTGAAAATTCAAATAAGCAGTTACTCGTTTACCTTACTTAATTTGTTCAGAGAAATTCAAGGAAACGAGCAAATTAGTATTGCCATTGAAGGGAAAGCTATTTTACGTGGAAAAATTGCAGCTCAGACGATAAACAAGTACAGAATATTTGAAATGCCATGAATAGATGCCGAGAATGATCTAAGAGTCCCCTATTTAAAGAAACCACATGTCGGGTACCATTGAAATGTCAAAGAATTATCGCGCAGTTGACCTTCTTTCGCAAAAGTTCTCACCTGACATCGCAGATACATTTTCCGTTTGAGAAACGAGCAGTACTATTATACAACGATGGGAAAATTAATCGACGAAGGATAACAGAGTGAAGTAGAGCATTTACTAGGCAGCTAATCCGAGATCGGTTAATCACGTGATCAGAGATTGCGAAATTAAATCGCGAGACATCGCGAAGTGGACGTTGAAGAGACGAAACGAGCGCATGGAAATGCAATAATTGGCACCTGCCCGACCCGACGCAGATAAGTCACGATAAAATACGCTGGAAAGGGGACTCGAAGGTGGAATCAGCTGCAAGCTGAATTGCAAATGAACAGCAGATAAAAAGGGAAGAATAATGACACGATGGACAGAGCGTAAATTATCGCATCGAGAGATTTAGATCTAGCCAAATGGAACCGACGATCACGAGGATTCGTCGGCTTTATTTTTGGGCGGCCATATTTTCGGATATTTCTCATCGTCTTCGAAAAAGAGTTTACCGACTGTGACATTTGTTTGACAGCTCTAGTCACATTCGCTCGCGGGCAATAATTCACTCATCGGGAATCGTGGCAACTAGATTTATCGACGTGGAAAGGCATCTGCTTTCGATGTCCTTGCAACGTACTGTTCTTAGAAATGTACACACGCGTGATAATATCTGCAATTGGAAAAATTGCAAATGAAGGAAAAACACCGGAGATGGCGGTTTAAAAAATTCCAATTTCTTCGTTAATTTCATCAAGGACGAATTCTTTTCAAGTCGACGTTGTAATAATTTCAAAGCAGTGATTCTAAAGTAAAATAAATTACTATTAGCGGTGATATTCGACGAGGATTTTATTTTATTCACGAGGTATCCTATGGGGAATAGTCCTCCAACTGATTCTAATTTCCTTTTCACACGTAATAATCACAATTTGTAAAAAGCTACACGTACATATATATGGCGGTATCCTTTATGCTATATATAATAATATATAATAATTCTCCATTGATAAAAGGTCAAAAAATAAAATTAACCATTTGCACTCGAGATGTGACTCTCAGTCACCATTTAATCAGATTCTAAAGATCGACGTTAATTAATCTATCAAATTTAAAATTACTTAACGATGTGTGGAATGTCGAAGAAAAATAATTCTACGTCT